AACAGCTGCTAGACAGTGCTATGTCATTAGCATCCGAAGAATGAGTGCTGACTTCATGCAACTTGCAGACCTCGAGCTCGAGCTCGAGCTCGAGCCAAGGGGTAGATTGGCCCCCGTTGAGGAGTTGGAAGTGGTCAAGCTCGAGCACGGGAAAGGCATTACTATTAGTCAGGATCTCAAGGCCAACCTCTGGGAGGAAATCATCAATTGTCTGTCCTGCAACATTGATGTTTTTGCATGGAAGGTGGAGGATATGCCAAGAATAGACCCAGAAAGAGCTGTCCATAAACTTAATATCAGCCCAGGGGCCAAACCTGTTAAGCAAAGGAAAAGACAGTTTGGCCGAAAAGACGTGTGGTCATTCAGGAAGAAGTCAGCAAATTGTTGGGAGCGGGGTTCATAAGGGAAGTCCAATACCCCGATTGGCTCACTAATGTTGTTCTAGTGAAAAAGGCCAGTGGTAAATGGAGGGTCTGCATTGACTTCATAGATCTCAATAAGGCGTGCCCAAAGGACAACTACCCACTACCAAGGGTTGACAATTTTGTGGATAGCACATCCGGACATAAGCTATACAACTTCTTAGATGTATTCTCAGGGTATCATCAAATCCTCATGGCCAAAGAAGACCAAGAAAAGACTTCATTCATGGCTAATTCAGCCATATATTGCTATAGGGTGATGCCATTTGGGTTGAAAAATGCTGAGGCAACATATCAGAGACTCATCAACAAAGTCTTCACCGATTTGATAGGGAAGAACATCGAAGCCTATGTAGACGACATGGTTGTAAAGAGTAAGAAGGTGGAGGAACACATATCTGACCTAGAGGAGGTGTTCGTCACCCTATGAAAATATAAGATGAAGTTCAACCCAGAGAAGTGTGTATTCGGCGTAGCTTCAGGGAAGTTTTTGGGTTTCATGATCACTCATCAAAGGATTGAGGCCAACCCCAACAAGATTCAGGCTCTGGCAGCAATGGAATCACCAAGGACCAAAAAAGAAGTTCAAAAGTTGATAGGCAGGGTAGCCGCCTTAAACAGGTTCATGTCCCGAGCAGCAGACAGGTGCTTCCCCTTCTTCAAAGCCCTCAGGGATAATCATTGCTTTGAATGGAATAAGGAGTGTGAGAAGGCTTTTCAGGAGCTCATGCAGACATTGGAGTCTCCTCCTATCCTCACCAAACCCAAGCTCGGGGATACTCTTTATTTATACTTAGCTGTATCTCAAAATGTAGTGAGTGGTGTCTTGGTGAAAGAGGTTAACAGTGCCCAGCAACCCATTTATTATGTAAGCAAAGTCCTACTTGATACAGAAACAAGATACACTTTGACTAAACAACTTGCCCTTGTACTGATAGTGGCAGCACGAAAACTTCGGTAATATTTTTAGTCACATCCTATTGTAGTGCTCACCAATCAGCCTCTAAAATACATTCTTCAAAAACTTGATGTCTCAGGAAGATTATTGAGGTAGGCAATTGAACTTGGAGAATTTGACATAGAATTCAAGCCCCGTCCATCTATCAAAGCTCAGGCCTTAGCTGACTTCATTGCAGAACTCACCCCAAGGCCTTGAGGGCCAGATGGTAGCTCGAACTCGACCACAGGCGTGTGGCAAATCTTCGTAGATGGAGTATTAAACTCCTCAGGCTCGGGTGCAGGGGTCATAATCATAAGCCCGGACATGCTCATAAACATTCAGTATGCACTCAGGTTCGAATTTGAGGAAACCAATAATGAAGCAGAGTATGAGGCCGTCATCATAGCTATGGAACTCGCCATAAATCTCGAGCTTGAAAATATCAAAATTTACAGTGATTCCCAGTTGGTGGTTGGACAAATCAAAGGGACGTTCGATAGGAAGGACGAGAAGATGAGCTTATACTGCTTGAAAGTGCATGATCTCCAAAGAAGGTTCAAAAGTTGTGAAATCATGAAAATTACTCGAGCTGAGAATTGTAAGGCCGATGCCTTGTCAAGATTGCTGTTCATGGGACTAGATGGACTTGACAGGACAGTCCACGTTAGAATTGTAACTGAGCCAAGCATCAATCAGACCATAGGTGTCATGGATATTGATAATGAACCATCGTGGATGGATCCAATAGTGGACTTCATAAAACATGGCAGTCTTCTAGAAGATCCTCGAGCAGCAAGAAGCATCCGGTCCAAAGCTCCGAGGTATTGCATGATTGAGGGAGTTTTGTTTTGCAGACGCCTCACACTTCCATACCTCAAATGCCTTAGGCCTTCCGAATCATCCCAGGCCCTAGAAGAAGTTCATGAAGGAATATGTGGGAACCATCAAGGAGCTCGAGCATTAGCCTTCAAGCTCACAAGGTATGGATATTATTGGCCACCCATGAAGAAAGATGCCCATGAATATGTCAAGAAGTGTGACAAGTGCCAAAGATTTGGCAATGTCATCCACCCTCCCACAGAAGACCTCACTAGCATTAGTTGCACAGCCCCATTGAGCAATGGGGAATTGACATCCTTGGTCCCTTTCCAATAACTAGGGGGGAATTGAAGTTTGTGGCTGTGGCTGTAGAGTATTTCACTAAGTGGGTGGAGGCTGAGCCTTTAGCAACAATTTCAGAGCCTAAGTTAAGAAGTTTCATTTGGACATCCATGATATGCAGGTTCGGGATACCGAAAGTCCTCATAACTGATAATGGCAGGCAGTTTGACAATGCACAATTTAAAAACTTCTGTTCCAACCTAGGGGTTGATCACCGTTTGACGTCGGTTTCCCATCCTCAAAGTAATGGTCTCGTCGAAGTGACCAAACGGATTATATTACAAGACCTCCGCACAAGGATCGGGGATGCAAGGGGTTTCTGGCCTGACGAGTTACCTTCCATACTTTGGATGTATATAACGTCCCACATAACTGCTACGGGGGAAACCCCCTTCATGTTGGATTTTGGTATTGAGGCCGCCATCCTTGTTGAAGTCAGGTTGCCCAGCCAAAGAAAGCTTGAGCTCGAAGATGCAGGGCGTACCACTGAACACCTCGACCTCTTGGAAGAAGTTCGTGATCAGGCAGTTTTAAGAATGGCCTCCTACCAAGATAAAATAGCAAAGTATTTCAATAAAAAAGTGAGGATGCGGAGATTCAGAGCCAGACACCTTGTGTTAAGAAGGGCCGAAGCAGCAGGTCATACCCCGAGCAAGCTAGGACCAGTTTGGGAAGGGCCTTTCGAAGTCATACGACATCTCCAAGGAGGCACATACAGTTTAAGGGATACAACTGGAAGACCACTTCCAAGACCATGGAACGCCGAAAATTTAAAGATATATTACAAGTAACTTGGTCTTCCAGTTATTAGTTTTCAGGCCTACGCGTCAAGGTTCACGTTTTCAATTCTCAGGCCTGCGTGCCAAGTTTTATTTTTCGGTAGTCAGGCAAGCATGCCAAGGTTCACGTTTTTTGTTGTTAGGCCTGCGTGCCAAGTCTATTTTTAAAAGTATAATAAGAATTAAGCTATTCGTTAGAATATGATCTAGCTACTAAAAGCCTTGCCCCGAGCAAGCAATTAAAAAAGCCTTGCCTCGCGCAAGCAATCAAAAAGCCTTGCCCCGCGCAAGCAACCAAAAAGCCTTGCCACGAGCAAGCAACTCAAGCCTTGCCTCGCGCAAGCAATCAAAAAAGAATCAAAAAGCCTTGCCCCGCGCAAGCAACCAAAAAGCCTGGTCCCGAGCAAGCAACTCCAACCTTGCCCCGCACAAGCAATCAAGCATTGCCCCAAGCAAGCAAGCTAACATTCCCGAGCACACAGTGCCCGATCAACGATGTGATAAAACTTATAAAAAGGCCATTACTGTCCTCGGTGATCACGCTATAGGTTGATACAATTACATTGTCATTGAGTCCTCGAGATGAACATGCATAATATGCACGAGCTCGTTGTATAACGTCAAAAAACGATTTTACAAAATTGAGTCATTGAGATAACTTGTATACATGCTCGAGCTCAGCACATAATTTCAAAAATGATTTGGTGAAATTCAGTCCTCGAGAGAGTATTATTGGTCGAGCATGTCAAAAATAAATCTTTGTTGTCAGTGAATAAATACGTCAAGGCTAAAACTTCATTTAGGCGTTGAGATATTAAAACATCTTAGGCGTCGAGCCGTTTAATACATCTTAGGCATCGAGCTGTTTAATACATCTCAGGCGTCGAGTTATTTGATTTGTCTAGGTGTCGAGTTATGGATTCTCTTAAAGTCGAGCTAGGTCACATCACTTAGCATAGTTCTCAAATGAACTTAAAGCTCGAGTAAACATAATCGAAGTAACATAGCAAGAAATGCAAGTTAAGCTCGAGAAGAACACATTGATTTCAAAAACTGATTAATCAGTACAAGAGCCAAGAGTATCCAAAAATAAAAAGAAAAATAGAAACTAATCTAGGTCCTCGGCTCCTTCTCCCGAGGCCATGCTTCCTTGCTCTTCCGCCACGTCCTCACCATCAATATCGACCTCCTGGTCCTCGACGGTTTCCTCGGACTCTGAAAGCTCGAGGTCTTCAGCAACCTCAGGGATGTTCTTTAAATCCTCGGGCTTTGCATCAGGCTTCGACCACAAAAATGCCCGAGCCTCTTTCAAAGCGTGGAAGTATGAGCTCATGGCGTACTTTCCCTTCAGCCCGCTGAACTCCTCAGACGTTTTGAAATCTTCGATCGCAATGCCTTGAGCTTCAGTCAGGTGAGTTTCAAATCTCTCTTCAAATGCTCGATCTCGAGCTTTAAATCCTCGGCCTCACCCTTAGCCACTCCAGCCTCTTTTCGAGCTATCTGAAGGTCGATCTTCGCGTCATCGCGCTCTCTCTGGAGAAGGAAGCGCTCAGCCTCCATGTCAACTATCCTTTTCTCATGTGCTCGAGAAGTATCCTCGATTTCAGCAGTTTTATGTGCCTCGTCTTTCCCCTTCAGAGAGAGGCCTCGGGCAATACTCAGAGTCTGCAATATATAAAACCCGAACTTAAACGATCACATCATATAAACCCATAAATTACACCAAGTAAGTTGAGCGAGCTTACCTTCAGCGTAAGGGATTCAAGAGCTTTCATGCCCTCGTCGAAGCTGAGGTCCTTTCGATATTTGTCCAAGATGCTCAACACCAGAGGACACCAATCAAGATCTCGAATGAAGGCACAAGAGGGACCTCATCCTCGAGGTCAACAACCTCAGGGGTACTCCTTGACCGAGGACGCGATCGAAGAGGGACAATTGGAGTTTCATGATTGTGAATGATCGGGGATTGTCCCCGCGCAGAAGGTACGTTTGGCCCACTCCTAATATTCTCGGGACTTGAATCACAAGCTCTCTTCTTCCCTCTTTTTTGACCTGGAGCTCGAGCCTGAAGGGCCTTTGACTTTTTATTCACGGCCTGTCTAAGGTCTGAAGGATCGAAAGTCATCTTTGTAAAAATAAGTCATTAACATGAGCACAATTATACATTCAAAGACAGATCGATGAAGAAGAAGGCAAAAGGATGATCCCTACCCTCAGTGCCTTTCACATCCGCAAGATCGGGAATGTCATCCCCGAGGATGTCATCTATATCATAGACAAGAGGCTCAAGGTTCTCTAACATCTCCCTATGCCTTTCTAAAGACTCAAAATAGGCATGCCCTTCACAAAACCTGGCAGTGTCGGGCAAAACCCACCTAGGACTAAAA